GCTCCTTGTGCGTGTTTCCCTTGATGTCTCCGTGGTTCTGGTCTGAGTTACATTTTAGTTGGATTTTTGGATTTTGCCTCTGTTATTAGTGTTTTTATTAAAACTACAAGAATTCCCCTCAGCCTCTCGGCCTCTGCATTTTGGGTCCTCTTAACTACAGCCAAGACGTGACAGGCGCCATAGTAACAGGAGCACAACGTCACATAGCTGTTATGCATCAGAGGAGCTATTTATCATATTGAAATTTCACAGATTTGACAGTTATTTTTATTATTTATTTTTATAATCATTGATCAATACTATTACTATACATTAGGAGACCCCCTTAATTGTAGTTCTGATAGCATCCAGCAGATGCCGCCGTTCTAAACTGTATCAAATATATCAAGTATGGTGTGGAGTTTTGGCCAATTGTGTCAAATTGGTTCATGGGGCTTTAATATAGCCATCATTATCATGCTAGCTGTGACTCTTTCTTATACTCCTCCCGATTAGGTGGACTGAGGAAAACCTGCTGTACTTTTAAATCTCCTGGCGCCACCTAGTGGAGATGATGAGAACAGGCAGGGTGCCAAAAACCACAAGAAGAATAGAAGCAGAATTAAATTAAAGATATAAAAAACACGATAAAAGCAGGAAGTAAAACAAATACAACAGTTGGACCAAAACTTAAACTAATTAAACCTCAGTTAACAGTTTAACTTAAAGAGTCAAAGGCAGCTCTAAAAAACAGGTTTTTAACTTTGACTTCAAAGAACTGATTTCAGCATTTTTTCAGTCTTCTGGGAGTTTTTTCCAGATCAGAGGAGCACAGGAACTAAATGCTGCTTCTCCATGTTTGGTTCTAGTTCTGGGTGGACAGAGTGGGCTGGAACTAGAAGACCTGAGTGGTCTGAGAGGTTGATCCACTGACAACAATCTGTTATGTATTGAGGTGCTGATCTATTCAGTGATTTATAGACTAATAGAAGGATTTTAAAGTCTATTCTCTGAGCTACCGGGAGCCAAGGGAAGGACTTCAGAACTGGGCTGATGTGCTCTACTTTCTTTGTTCTGGTGAGAACATGGGCAGCAGGGTTTTGGATCAGCTGCAGCTTTCTGATGGACTCTTTAGGCAAACTAATGAAGATGCTGTTGCAGTAATTAATTCTACTAAAGATAAATGCATGAATGAAACTTTCTAGGTCCTGCTTGGACATTAGTCCTTTATTCCTGGAGATGTCCTTCAGCTAATAACAGGTTGACTCTGAGGGTTCAGGCCTGAGTCCATCATGACACCAAGTTTACGGCCATAGTCGGTGGTTTCTAGCTGTCGTAGCTGAAGCTGTGAGCTAACTAAGGAGCTCTCCTCCTTTGGTCCAAAGATTATTACTTCATTTTGTTTTTATTCAGTTGGAGAAAAATATGGTTTATCCACATATTGATCTGTTTTATGCATCTATTTTATATGGATGTCATTGTAAGAATCATTTTATAAATAAGTATGAATAAGAATTACTAGTTATTTATCATTATGATGACATTTGAGGCTTATTAACTCTACTGACAGGGGCGTGCATACATAGACACTAGG